AGAGAGAGAGAGAGAGAGAGAGAGAGAGAGAGAGAGAGAGAGAGAGAAAGGCTCTACCCTTTGTACTAATGGCACCCACATCCTAATAGTACCCACATCGATCCTCTTTGGTACCTTTCCTACTGTCATGGAGTCACCTCACATGGATTGAGAGGCAGAGGCCAGAAGCTTGCTAGAGATTCCCAGAAGGATGGACAGCTGCATTTGGTGTTGTCAGCAGTGAACATGCTGAGCAGCCCTCACACATAGCAGCTCAGAGAGCAGGTGTGAGACACGAGAAAGCCCTGGTCTCCCTAATCATCCACCTGGAAGAACTCTAGTAGGGCATGGGGACTCTGTTTATTGTGATTATTTGGATGAGTTATTTATCTTCCTCTCCAGCCTATTTTTGAATATTGTGCTTATTATTGCTAGGTCCTAGAGAAACCCAACATTTTCAAGAAGTTTACTTTTCAATGTGTACACCCCACTCTGAGTATGCAAGAAACTGTCTTCATGAATGAGTAACAAAGAATTTTTCTCTAGTGCGTCAGAGTAAATGCAGGCCAGGGGCTGGTTCCTAGTTGATCCTGGGTCATGAAATTGTCTTTCCTTTTCCATGATTTCCAGCCTTGTTCCTTGGCCTACAAGTGTTCCAGCTGATTACCCGGACTGTAAGGAGGTATGAAGCTTTGCACCCAAGAAGAAGACATCAGCTCTTTGGAATACTTTCCACTCTGAGGCTTGCTTGTCAAGAACCATAAAATCAAGACAGAATCAGCTAAAGAACTTGCATAACCCAGTGAAAAGGTAAATTTGAGATATAGCTTCCAAAGTTACTAAGAACTTCAAAGTTCAGGAGTAGGGCAGGAAAACACACACGGTCCGTGCACAGTTAAAAACACAGGGACCTATTCTTGGTTGACACAGTGAAGAGCAGCAGATGTGACATGGCAGAGACGCTGGGACTGAAAGTGTTCGCCTGAGTCTTAGACTGTCCATCAATGTAATAGCTGTGATCCTTACCTTGAGAGCTGCAAGAGTTTTCAGCTATATACGTAGAATACAGTGGGAAAAAATGTCAAATTCTCATTAGAGAAGAGTTCCTTCCCTAGAAACAGACTGTAGCTCACGTTTCGCACTTGAAGAAGAGGAGCCGACTTAACAAGAAACGTGTCTTGTTCATGTTTATCCAGGTGATTGCTTTGTGAGTAGGGCCCCAGACCCTTCATTCCAAGTCTGGTGGGCTTCCCTCCACCAGCCCGCTGCTCAGCATCCCAGCTGTGTAAGGCATTTCTTGCTTGACTAATGACCAGTGCTCCTCCACAGATGGTATGGGGCTGAATCAACCATCCGCAAGAGTAGCTCCACTTCCTGCCCTGCTGCAGTGTCCTGTGGCTGGGTTGTTTTGAGATGAATGTTATCCTTTATCACCGGATGCTAGGGGTGGGGATGTCTTCCGCTAGTGACTTCTCACATGGTTCATGGTGAAATAGCTCTCTCTGTACATGGTTGCTCTGCAGCTGCCAGGCAGTGGCAGCCGGCATCACCAGTGAATTTGGTAGCAGATACTTGAAAGACTGCATTGGAGACAAAGGTATGGTCCACTGAAGTCGTTACACCAGAATACTGCTGACTGTGGACTATCTGAGCTTAATATTGACAATAATACTGAAAAAAGTATAAAGTTTTGAGTATCATAAGAAATTGATAAGAGAGGCCAGACTGGTGTTGATTTTATGACTTCTTTTTCTAGAAAAGACTATTGCCCATAGAATTTCCCAAGAATGATCTGCTTACCTTTCCCAAATCTCACTATATATGGTGATGATGTTGGCTTCTGAGCAAGGAGAGTGGGTTGATGGCTCCTTTATCTCCTTGATCCAAGAAGGAAATGGGAACTAAATCAATGATTATTTTGTCATTTAACATTTTGTCAGTTACAAACAATAGTGTATAGTTCAAAGAACAAGACTTCTGGATCATTGGTACTATTGTGATTTCTAATGGTCATTGCTAGAATATGGAGGATGCTGAATTAGCCACATCAAGGACTTGCATTGCCTTTTACTGGGAAGTGTCCTGATGAACAAAAATGACTTTTTCTTTGCAAGCTGGAAGTTCCAAGTGCAAATGTGGCAGCTGCAGTCATAGGCTGTGGAAGAAATGGTGCGCCCAACCTTACACTCCTCTGTGACTTTGACACTCAAACTGTTCTTTAGGAACACAGTCTCAACAGAATACAGGACCACCTCTCCATATTCCTTGAAAAAAAGTCTATTAATTTATTAATTTTCTAGGCAATGTCCTCCTTATAGCCACCCCCAAAGTAGTTACAAATACCATTGTGCAGATGGAACCCTGTAGCTTGTATGTTTGCCTACCCAGAATCCACATTTGGGGAAACTGAATCCCCAGCATCATAGATCAATACATTTGGAAAGGATGACTTAGCAGGTAATTATGATTAGGTAAAGTCACGAGGATGGGGCCCCATGATGGAGTTAGTGCCTCTAGAAGATGAAGAGGACAGATGAACTGGTAGTTTATTTTGTCTCTCTACAAGATACCTTCCTTTGTTTGTTTGCTGTGTTATGACATAGTAAGAGGTGTGTATCAGATCAAGCTTCTCAGACTTGGGCCTTCCAGTCTCCACTCTGTAAAAAAATAAATTTCTTTATAAATCATCCTGTCTCAAGCAGTCTTTTAGGACAACAGAAAGTGGGCTATGGTATAGGGGACTGAAGAGTAGATCATTGAGATGAGGAAGTCTACATCTGAGCAGAGTAAGTCTGGGTCCTATGTCCAAAGCATCTGCCAGTCATTAGGTCATTGTTCAGGCTGGATGATACCTCTCCTATTTCTCTCTCTCTCTCTCTCTCTCTCTCTCTCTCTCTCCCTCTCCTTCTCCCTCTCCCTCTCTCTCTTTTGAGACAGGATTTCTCTCTGCTATCTCTCTCTCTCTCTCTCTCTCTCTCTCTCTCTCTGTTTTTTGAGACAGGATTTCTCTCTGTAGCTTTGGAACCTGTCCTGCAACTCACTTGATAGATCAGGTTGGCCTCAAACTCAGAGATCCACCTGTCTCTGTCTCTTGAATGCTGGGATTAAAGGCATGAGCCACCCCAACTCCTCCTCCTTCTCAATTTCTAATGATAAAGCTGGATGCCAGCTTCTTATCACATGATGATATTGGGAAGTGTGAGAGATCATCCTTTCAAGAAGTTAAGGTGAGATCTTTAGGGTGTGTCTTAATCCATCCAAACTGTACCCTTATAAGAAAAGGGAATTGGGATGGGTCCGCATTCCCATACCGAGGAAAGATGTCGAGAAGAAACAGATAGAAAGCACCATATGTGGACCAAGAAGAAATGCCCCAGAAGAAACCGAGACTTCCCATGCCTTGGTCTTAGACCCCTGGTCTCCTCTGTGAGCCAATACATATCTGCTGTTTAAGCTACCAATCTGTAGTAATTTGCCATCAGCCCACATCTTAAGGTTTCTATTGCCTGCTGCGACAAAATACCATTACCAAAGGCAACTTGGGGAAGGGTTTATTTCACTTATATTTCCATATCATTTTCCATCATCGAAGGAACTTAGAGCAGCAACTTAGAGGATGAACCTGGAGGCAGGAACTGAACCAGAAGCCATGGAAGAAAACACTACTTACTGGCTTGCTTGTCATGGCTTCTCAGCTTGCTTTATGATGCATCCTAGGAATACCTGCCCGGGGTGGCACCACCCACAATGGGCCGGACCCTCCCACATCAATCCCTCATTAAGGAAATGGCCCACAGATACACAAGACCTGTGTCTCTAACCACTTGGGTATGCTTCAGTTCTTGGAAGATGTCACGAAACTGGGCTAGCCTGGACTGTGGACTCCCCTCCTGGCTAGATCACATCTCTACTTTACAGATTTTATTCAGGGTTGAAATATTTTGGTCCTTGAGTAGGAACCAGGCTCCTCTACCAAAAACTGTGAAGCAAACCTTAGGAGAAGCAAGAAGAACAAACAGTCGCTGCACACAGGGTTCCGGTGACTCACACACAGTTCTCTGTCAAGACTAAAGTTATCTTCGGGGCAATTTTCATGTTTATCATGCTTCTCAGGGTTCCTGACAGCTCTCATTGGTCAGTCAACACGTGTGACATGTAGATGTGAGATGAAGTTACTCCTGAATTAACCCAGCTTCTGCTAGCCCTTCATCCCCTAGGGAGTAATACTTTCCAGAACACTGTAAATACTGGGCAGCTCTACTGTCTGCTGTTGAATTCTGCTCCACCAGCCTTCCTCAAGGCAAGATCAGGTGGCCCTAGTTGTTCTTGTCTGATGTAGTATTTGTAAAGGTACTTGGTAATTATTTAGTGATCTGTAAGTGGAAATGAGTATTTATGTTATATCGTCAATGGAAAAGAGAAGCCTGTATTTCCTTTATCAGCTTAGAATAAAAGCTTTCATCTTTAAGTAACATTTGAAAGTTTTGTGCAATGTATATAGATCCTATCCATGCATTATTACCTCCCTCCAGCTCTCCAGTACTCTGTCTCCTTTCCATATCTTCTTTTTAACTTGTTATTAATAAGCTCCATAGTCTAATTAATGCTGAGTGTATGTGCATGGAATGTGATCATAATTAATTTTCTTTTTTAAAAACATATTTTTTTTAAAGTTTATGTGCATTAGCATTTTGCTTGCCTGTGTATCTGTGTGAGGGTGTCAGATTTCATGGCAACATTTGTGAGTTGCCATATGGGTGCTGAAAATTGAATCCACATCCTCTGGAAGAGCAGCCAGTGCTCTTAACCACGGAGTGATTTTTCTTATTGCTGTGACGAACTACCCAGCCAGAAGCAACTGAAGGGAGGAAGGGTTGACTCAGGCATATGCTCTAAGGGCTACAGCCCACCTTTGGGAAGTTGTGGCAGTGGAAATGTGAGGCAATTGCTCACCTTGTATCTATGGTCAGGAAGCAGAGAACATGAGTCATGACTGCTGTACTTCTGCTTGCTTGCTTTCTCTTTTCCACCTGGGACCTGGACGTCCTATGAGGTGGTGCTGTCCATGTTTAGGGTAGGTTTTCTAACTTTAATTATTCTAGAAATTAGAACTGCCTTGTGCATCTGCCCAGAGATTTGTCTCCTAGGTAACTCTAAGTTCTGCCAAGTTGACAGTCAATCTAAAGCCTCACAAGTCTACCCCTTGTTCACTTGAAAATGAAACGTGCCTCTTTTAAGACATAACATCCCATTCTTTGTCCCCATGGATCCATGGCCGTATTGCAATGGTGTAGATCATGCTCATTCCAACCTTAGAAGACCTCCAAAGTCTTTAACATCCCCTCATTACATTACTGAGCATTTGAAGGAAGGGAGGGTCAAATCATGAAATAACTCAGGAATTTTTCTTTTGGTCTTTCAAACTGATCTAGTGAAATAGTTATTGACTTTGAATTCTAAAGTTCTCATTTTCCTGTAAAGGTTCTTACTACAAAACCACTAGGTCAACAGTATTCAGTCTGTGGGTCATGACCACTTTGGGCATGAAAGACCCTCTCACAGGGGTCTCATGTTAGATTCTGCATAGTTAATATTTACATTATGATTTTAATAGTAGCAAAGTTATAGTTATGAAGTAGCAATGAAAATAAATTTATGGTTGGCTGTCACCACAACACAAGGAATTGTATAAAGGGTTGCAGTGGTAGGAAGGTTGAGAACCACTGCAATAAATAGAAACAACTATGGTTCCACTTCCGGGAGATTTTGCTGGTGTTCCTAGGTTATCTGGGACCATTTCTGACAGAAGTGCACTGTCTGTACAATTGCATACTGGGACCTATAAGAGAATTCAACGTCACCATTTTCCTTCTGAAGAAAGGTCTTCTTTGTGTAGCCTGCAAATGTCAGCCCTCAGGTTGTCCTTGAACTTACAGCAGTCCTCCGGCTTCAGCCTTCTGAGGGCAAGGCTAAGAGATGGAGGCCACCACCACAACTGGCCCTTTGAGCACTCTTCTCTGGCCATGCTAACACTCCTCTCCCATCAAAGAACGGCTATCAAAGAATGACTCAGCTTTCCTCCTCTCTGTCGTCTTTGGTAGGCAGTTAGCACCGTTTCCTTGCCTCTATCAGCTTAAGGGATCTAGGGCTCTTACGTCAGTGACATCATATAGCATGTGACTCTTTATGACTTGCTAATTTTGTCTATGTCTAATTGTCTAGGTCTATGTCTAATTTGTCTATGTCTTGCTAATTTGTCTTTGTATATGATGCATGGATGATCATTTGCTTCCTTTTTATGACCGAGTATTATTCCATTGCATCCTTTAACCCTGCTTTTGGAGTACCTGTTTAGTTTGCTTTCTTGCTTTCTCTGTGTCTTATAATTCTTAGTCCCTGCTTTCTCCCTTACTATTTTTTGGGGGATTTAGAATGTTTACAGTGATATATTTTTATTCTTTCCTTATTGTGGTTTTCACATATTTTATGTGTGTTTTCTTCGTGGCTGCTATGGGGATGGCATATATCATGCAAAAATGGTAGCTGTTTGAAATCAACTTGAGTTGCAAACATGGGTTCTGTACCTTCAAAACTCTAGCCCCCGACTCTATGTTACTGATGCCAAAAATGGACATCTTTTTGTTGTATGATCGTTAGCATAGATTTATAACTGTTTGCCCGTCAATGTTTTAAATCCTATAAAGGGATAAAATTTACAGCAAGAGGCCTCAGTTGCCAAAGAACTGTCTCTTAGTTGTCTCCATATATTTATTTTTTGTTAGAGAACTTTTTCTCATATAGTTTTAGATATATTTGCTCCTTCGCTCATGAGGATTTGGTCAAGTTAAATGCATAGGATTACCTATGCAGGGCTGGGGAGTTAGTTGACTCAGCAATGTGCTCGATCTGTAAGCATTGGGACCTCTCTCTACAATCCTCAGAATTCATGTAAGTAGCTAGGTATGGTGATATATGTACTTGTCCTCCTCTCACTGGGGAGATGGAGACACACAGGTCCTTGGAGTCTGCTAGCCAGGCTGCCTAGGGCAAATCTTTGTCTCCAAAACAAAAATGAGTGGCATCTTGAGGAATGACACCAAGGCTGATCTCTGGCTCCTATACACATGCACATACACAATAAAGAATTACCTAGTTAATGTCAAATATAGAGCAAGTCCCAATCTTTCCCAGAGACCCTTGTTGATGGATTGTGGGTCCACTGAGAAGCGAGTGGTACTGTTTCTTCCTCCATGAAGCCTGTTACAGAATAGCAGAGATAGAAACTTCAGTGAGTGAGTTTGATTGACCACCTAGTATGAATATGGACAAACTCAACCCAAAGCAACAGAGAACTTGGTAGCCAGGCTCAGGCATGCATCTTGGATTCAGAGCATCACAGCTGTGTGTCCCGGGTCTGGTACCCCCTCCCTGTTAGAGTGTCACTGAGGTTAGCTGAATCTTAGCAGATGTGGCTTTAGATGTTCTCCCTGTCCTTCACAGCTTCAGGAAGTCCCACTCTGAGTCAGTGCCAAGTGGGTTTGGTTTTCAGCTCGATTTGCCTGTAATGGGTGGTGGAAGACATGACTCATAAATCCCACCCTGACCTTACTTACCTCATGCTCAGCCTGCTGCAGGAGGACCGGTGCATTCTCAGGCGTGTGGTCCTTAAAGAGAAGCAACAGCTTTGCAGACAAGGTCTCCCTGAGGAGAAAAATGCACGCGCAGCAAAAGATTCAGTCAAATGCATGTTTCCAATTGCACATGAACTTTTGTAGACTATATAAACAGAAGAAAGAAAAAAATGAAGACATTCATTTAAAAAATCAAACAGAGAGTGCAAAACATCACCAGGCATAATTATATATGTGGCATTTGTCAGGACCTGGGAAACTATATGCATCTTGGCAATTGGATTCATCTACTCCCTCATTTGTTTGCTATAAGATACAGAAAATATGCCTGTTATGTCAGAAGAGGTCACAGTCTTGCTCTTAAATGTTTGAAAATTAAGGAAACCTCTTCATTTTGTCCTCACGTGTTCAAATGCATATGGTACATGTTATACAGAAAAGAACAATAGACATGATGTTTGAACCTGAACATGGACCCGAGGGAACAGCCCTTGGGTGCGAGGCTCTCAATTCGCCATATGGGAAATGAGGGCAGTGGGCAGTAGATTTAAGAAGCGAAAAGATGCCATCATGACGAATACCTCAGACAGCGCATGCTCATTCAGGTATCTCCTACAGAGCACATCTTGCACAAGGACTGGATGTTTCTTCCTGTCACCCCGATTGTTTCCTCAGTTGTTGACAGGTTCTTGGGTATCGTGTGTCTAATTTTAAGGTTTCCATCAGTGATCTGGAACTATCTACAATCAAGGAAGGAAAATGGCCATTTTGAAGCTGTCTAATTCTGCAAGAGATGGCCCTTTCTCGTATTATTTTTCTAGTGCACACACACACACACACACACACACACACACCCTACACACATATACACATATACACACTAAGGCAATGCTTTTTATAAATATCTAAAACCTTGAACAGAAAGTTGATTCAAATCTCTTCACTTGCAAAAATATATAAGTACTAGGTTATCAACTAAAAGGTTTGGCTACCATCCTGTCTTAGAGGCTCTAATAATACCCTCTGTGTCTGTATGAAGCTGAGCGACGGTGGCTCATTATGTCTCCAGTCAATCGTCTCAGTCTGACAATTCCAGTAGTGGACAAATCTCAATGTAGTAAGTGACAGAAGTTCAGCGCAGTTCCATGAAGCATCTTGATATTTCTTTATTTATGTTGGTACTGAACCCATGAGTCATACACGCGATACCGACTTTCCCAGCAATGCTGTGGGAGCCTGCATTTGAATTCAGACAACTTTGCTCCTAGGCATGAGAATTTTCTCAAGATTCCCTAGAAGCCATCTTCTCCGTTAGTTTTAGTCTTGACATTTAGTCGTTTATCCATTTGTAAAACTTGGGGTTATGCTAAGCAAAGTCCTCTTCCATTGAGCTATACAGGCAGCAAATCTTGACATTCTACAAGCACGTCTGCTCCTTCAGATAGATTTGCACTTCAATATTTAGAGACAAACATCTTCAATGTCATCACCTGACTTTCTTTCACTTTACTGAGGAAGGTAGGCCTTAGGGAAAGCAACAGAGCTAGAAAACAAGGAAGTGAACGCAAATTTGTGATAACATTTGGAACGGAAAGCAGTTGGACCCACCCACCCACTCACCAGACCTGGAAAGAATGCCCCTCAAACCCTGTTTCCTGTCATCAGTGTGGTCAGTTATTTTGATCACTGGTTTCCCGTAGCCCTGAGTATTTTCCAGAACTAGAGTCAGGCTACTAAAAGCCCTAGAGAAAGTAGAGTTAAATAGGAAAGTTGAAACGAGGGAGAGAGCAAGAGACCAAATTCAAATCAGCGACCTTACGTTGGACTTGGATGACAGCAAAGCCAATTCCTCCTTTCACGGCATGACCTCCAGGTGGAATTTTGAAAGGGCATTGATAAGAGGCTGAGTCTCATTGACTTTTAGCAATCCTGTGTTACAAGACTTGTCAGAGAAGATGAGATCAGTTTCTAGGGGAGAGAAAGCTTTGCCTCAAATTCCCCAAGGAGAGACTGGATTTAGATCCAGGCCTTGCGGGTAGGTGTTTTCTCAGTCACCTGTTGGGGCCAAGTCACTTCAGTGCCAATCTCTCCTCCCTCGCAGTGTGGCAATGAATAACCCTTGGCCTGTGCTTCCAAGGCGTTTTCAGATGAACAGGCTTGGGACTGAGGACATTAGCCTAGGCATGAGCTTGGAATGGACAATTTGGTCAAGAAGAGAAGGAAATGCCAGCTTATTCAGCATGCGTAGTGGCCCAGACAGCCTGGCTTGTGTTCCTAGGAGGCAAGAAGTAATCACTACTTTCCAGATGTGCAAATTGAACCCAATTTTCTGTCTATGTTGTTTTTATTATCCTCAGACCAACCGAGGGAGGCAGGTGGGATACAAACCCAGATGCCAGTGTGCATACCAGTACTGTTGACTGCTTTCTTGAGGGGTGCTGTCGTCTGCAGGCTTGGGTTTTACTTCAGTTTTGGCACTTGCACAAGGCCTTTGTGCATATATACAGACGTGTGCATTTAATATGTGTGTCACATACACATATATGCAATTTATATGTATGTGTATATATGTCTACATATATATATATAAAACAAATTATTATGATTGTCATATATGTAAAAATACACAAAATGTTAGGTATTAGTAACCTGGACTTGGTTACAATCTAATCTCATTGTCACACCATTTCTTCACATATGAAATAACCATCATTATACTGACTTTGTAACTTTTGTTGATCAGATAAATTCTGCCATATGCCTACCAGACATCTGGAAAATAACGATGCTGCAGGATCTGCTTTTTCTTTCCTGGATCCTGTGGGACTGAGGCTCCCAGCTCTTGGAACTGTCGTTCTGCATGGAGTCTTTGCAGAATGGACGTCAGTTAGCCAACCAGTTCCAGCATCATCCATGTAGTTCAGAAATGCTTTACTGCCGATCAAGCCACTGAAGATGGCACACAACCTACTCACAGCAGTTGGTCATCTTAGGAATGCTAAGCAATGGAAAGGACAAAATATTGACCCAGCTCTCTTTTCACAGATGGTCACAGCTCAGACAAAACTATGTAAATTGTCCCAAGTCCCAAGACATGACTTCAGAACTCAGAACAGGCCCCTTTGATTCCACATCTACTGCTGACAAAATATAGCACAGAACTCCAAAGGCAACAAACAAAAATAGACACGTGGTCATCTGAAAAACTTCAAAATGACATAAGCAGGTAAGTCAGTCGGTTGCTTGCTTTATAAGCACAGGTACCTGAGTTTTGATCACCAGGACCCATGGGGGAAGAAAAGCTGGCATCGAGGTACATAAAAGGTGAATGTTACCTGGGAAACACACTTAAAGTTGTCATCTGGCCTCCACAGCACATACGCTATGTATATGTATACACACACACACACACACACACACACGCACGCGCACACACACACACACACATGCACACACACACACACGCACACGCACACACACACACGCATACACACACATGTACACACAGAGAGATTTTAGTGAGCATGAGTTTAATCTTCTCAAGAACTCTAAAGAAAAGGGTTTGTTTCAAAGTTGATGTCACAGCCAAACACTATAGACTATTATTCTGTCTCGAAAGGCACAGCAGGTCCTCAGGTCCTGTCTGGGAACAGATATCCCGAAGTCCTCTGTGCTGTGAGGGTAGAAGTGTGTGCCAGGCCCAGGGAGAACAGGAACGACACCTGTCGTCTCGTCGGTCTTTCAGACACAGTTGGAATAACCAGCGGATGAGGGTGGTTTGGTTAATGCTCAGCTGAAAGCAAAAAACCCATGGCCACAGCATATAGAGCTTTCGAGTTCTGTGGGACACTGCAGATCGTACCCAGACAGTGGAAATGAAACACAGAACGACGTGAAAAGAAAAAGCTGTCTTCAAGTCCTAACTCCCAGCGTTACTTTTTGGTGGACATCTTCTCCCTAACTCAGTGAACCTTCTGGAACATGTGCTGCTGTTTTATTTCTCCACCTCTTCCTACATGCTGCTTTCTCTACAGATAATATTTCTTAACACAGTCCTCCAGTGTACACTCACCAATTTCAGATTCATCCTTAAATATCACAGTCACACATGCCAAACTGCTGGCCTTTAAACCCAGTAGATGTCTGTCCTCTACTCTCAGAATCTGGATGACGTATATTACAGTATCCCAGGAGGAATGGGATGAATGCAATGATATTATCTGCACTGAATATTCCTATTGGGAATGATGGGCCCAGTAGGATTATGATGATGACGATGATGATGATGATGATGATGATGATGATAATAATAATAATAATAATAGAAGAAGAAGAAGAAGAAGAAGAAGAAGAAGAAGAAGAAGAAGAAG